CCCATGCTGCAAAGAGGAAAGCACCCCCTAAACCTGGTATATAGTTTAGAAATACCTAGGCTCCAAAAACAAAGAGGGAATGCAAAGCCAGCGTTATAAGAATATAGGCTGGCAGCATGACAACTTAGGAAGGTATAAAATAGAAACTGAGCTTAGGGGCCAATAGCTAGGGCCCATATGTCAGGACAGGATATATGGTTTGGGGCCCACACAAGCAGAGGAATTAGAATGAAATAACTATATATGGTTTGGGGCCCAGGGGGAACTGAAGGCATCCTTGCAGACAGGGGTTAGTGATGGGCTGACAAAGTGGGACTGAGAGTTGACCTGTTTTCTTCCAAGAAGGTAGGAGTTGAGGGGAGGGCGGGAGATGAGTAACAAGATAGGAAACAGGAATAAATGTAATTTCTTTGAATAACAAGTGGGTCTTCCATGGCATTTCTCGGGTGTGTTCTGTCCTGAGCCCTCTTTCTGTCCCTGCACCGACGCCTCACATGATGGGTGATGTTCATGTGCACTCAGCCTGGGCCCTGCCTTGTGAGAAAGCAAAGTGTGACACAGGTGAGAGAGAGGGCCTGCTGTAAGGCCGGCCCTTATCTGCTCTGAATTATCACCTTAGCAGAAAATAGTGAACAGACTCTGAACTTGAGTTAGGTGTTACCTGTAGTTCATCTGAAAACTGATCAGGATATACCACTCGGGACATCTCTGATCTTGGTGGTTGATGTAAATGATCCATCAATATGCTAAAGCTCGAAAAGGGAAACTAAATCGCCTGTAGCTGTTCATTCAGTCACCTGTTCGTCCTTTATTCAGTGTATACTTATTAAGCTCTGAGGCTATGCCAGGCCCGCTGCTGGCAGCTGGGGATGTTGTTGTAAATAGACCAGACATGGTGCCCTGGAGTCACAGTTACCCAGCTAGGAAAATGCTGTCATAACCTTGACCTACTTGGGACTGTGGCCATTGGGCTCTTCTCCTGAGGTTTGCCCTGGTTAATGGACTGAGCTGTCCACAATCACCTCCTTTGCAAAAAGATGAGGATATGTGTCAAGAGAACAGGAATGTGCCCCACGCAGTATGGGTGTCTGGACAGGAGACCCATGGGCTCCTACATGGGTACACCCTGCCTAGGACTGCCCTCGGGACCTCTTCTGGAAAAAGGTGTACCAACTAGTGATTTAAGATCTTCCCACGGAGACCCGAGAGTTCTAAAACTCTATATTTGTTGTGGAGTTTGTGCTTGTCTTGTGCCTGGTAACTTGGGAAACCCTAATACCACTTGTGACACCAGTAGGGCATGGGATTTAATTCAGAGCTCGCAACCGAGCGGTGGGTCTAGTGGGCAAACTGTTCTCCAGGTAACTAAAAATAATAGCAGATACTTTATTTCATTCTGTGAATGATGGTATTAAGTTTTAATAATTTTTAAGCTTTTTCAGCTCCTTGTGATACATTGTGTCACAACTCAGCAAAAAACTCTACAGGGACTGGTACAATCCATGGACTTAGGCAAATGGAGTTTCTACTGTGAAAAGAAAAAATACAATTTATGGGTTTTTTTCAGAGAGAGTTGAATAGCATGAAGTATTGAGCATTATTGTTAAAAATAAAGTGGAAAGAGAAGGGGTCATGATTCCCCTCTACATATCCAGACTTCTGAAACAAAGTATTTTTCAAGGTAAAATTTAAAATTCCACAAAATTCCTTCTTAGTCTTTGATTGCTGCTACCATTTTTCTAAGTCCTAAATGTTCCAGTGAAGTGAAACAGTGTCACTTCATTGACTTGGTAAGTAGGAACTCAGGAAAAGAACTGCTTCTCCCCTTCCGAATAGCAGTGTCACACAGTCCTTTGCATCTCATCTGTGGCGCACAGGAGCTCCTGCCCTGGGCAGCTCTGATTCCTCCTGGCTCCACGAGGGACCATTCAGGCCACAGCTGTGCTTCTAATGCTTCACCTGCCAGGTGAGCAGGTCATGACCTGCTTCCCAAAGTACAGAAGGCCAAGTCCTCTGCAACTGAGCCCACAGAGGGATGCTGGGGAATGGTGTATCTGATTTCTTTTTCTTCTTGAACCATTTTTACAACAACCAACTCCTTTCCCAGATGAGGCTAAAATGCCCTGGGAATCCTCCTTGTAAAGCCAGCTGGGTGCCACAAAGCGTTAGTAATTGACTATGGTCCGTGCTGTCATGCGTGCAGAGACTGCTGGAGCTGCTGGGCAGTAGGGAGGTCATGTGCTTCGGGGCTGCCCTGCATCCCTGCCTGCCTTCATGCCCTCTTCCCACAGCCCTCACGCTTCTCTGGAGCCCTGCGAGTCTCGGTGCAGAAAGAGACCGGGTCAGAATTCCCAGTAGATGTCACTTAGGGCTCGTATTAGATGCTACACTGCTTCCATACCACATCCCACCCACCCCCAGTTCTCCAGCTGTAGGCTCCAAAACAGCTGGGAATTAGTTTATTGGGTCACACTTCTCCCATCACTGCTGATGTGTGAGTGTTCGGCTGACAAATGGTGAGACCTGCATTTGATTTCATTTTATCAAGTAAGTGGGCCCAGGTCCTTGTCCTGTCCCCTCAGTTCATCCACAGCACAGAAGAGCTCCTCAGTAATACCTCATGACATCTCAGACGTCTAGGATGTCTCCCAGCCTCCCCATGCACTGCCCTCATAGTTCCCTGTCTTGTACAGTTGTTCCGCTTAATGAATCTATGTCCAAAAAATAACTCCTTAAATATGGACTGTACACCAGCTTGCTCTATTTCTTCAGGCTGTTGACTTTGGGTGTTTCCGATAAAATGTAGCTGTTATATTCCAGCCACTGTTCGAGGCTCTGGCAGAAGGTAAGGTCCCTGACAGATGAGCCCCCACCTGCCGGTATCTTACATTCTCCCTGAACCAGTACATGGATTACTCCAGCCCAGCTCAATCAAAGACTGGCTTCAGTGTCTCCTCCTTCATGAAGGCTTCCATGATTCTTTTTCCTGTTTCCCTTTCTTCTCAACCTCTAACAAGATTTGTACCTCACCCATAGTATAGGATAATTACGTGATCCAGAAAACAGGGTGCTGGGTCCCACAAGTGAAGCAACTAGCTGGGGAGTGACCTCATCTCTAGTTTACTCATCTCTGCCCAGTGGGAAGTCCCTGGCTTGGCTCTGAATCACCTCACAGGAAATCTGCCTCTTGCTGTGGCCAGCAGTGTCCTGCTAAAAGTTGGTGCTTTAAAAAAAAAGTTGAATAAATCGCAAGGCATGTGGATTATCCACACCCTCCCTTCTCTTTGTCCCTCCTGTTTTTACTAACTCAAGAGTTCCTGAGGCTAGAGACTATGTCTACCTTGTTTGCCCTTTATCCTAAATCAGCACCTGAAAAAGTCCCTAGGAATAGCGTTAACCTAATGATTTCATTCTCTCCTGCCTCTTCCAGACCATACAAGGAAAATGAGGGTGATCCGGAAATGTTTTGATAATTTTTGTTTAAAAAAGTAGAAAAATATATGAAATATATATGTATATATGTACACACATAATACATATACTATATACATACAGAGGAAGGTTATTACTCTTGAACAAATATTGATTGGTTTTGAACCAAAGTATGCCTCTGAGAACAATCTAGATTTTTAAGAATGAGTGATCCTGCTTAAAACACATCATCTGTTTATAGAAGATTATACCCCTCACCGATCTGGGTCTTAGTCCAAGGAAGGAATGGGGCAGCAGTGAGACAGGCATGTGGCGTCTAGTCCAGGAGGCACACTGATGGGAAAGTGTCACTGACTCTGCCCCTGTAATCATGGGCTTCACCTGAGCCACGGTGGGAGGGGGGGGTAGTGCAACCCCAGCAGGTGTCTACACCAAAGAATACCTTCAAAGGTTTCAGTCTAGTTTTAAGACTTCAAAAGACCTGAGAAAATAACAAGCACAGTGAACGACTGCCACCACCATTGTTTCGTTTCCTAAGTAGAGCACTCTATTCCATGTCACGGTGATGGAACCCCAGAGTCAAGAGCTCAGAAGGGCTAAGTGACGGTCACAGTCATGGTTTTCAAGCTGTAAAGTAGTGTCTCACATGACTCCATGGATTTGTTGTGTGTCCACTGTACCTAAATCTTGTATTGTTTTTCTCTTGGAAAATCATCAACCCAGGGTAAACAGTATTTTTGAGAAGTTTGATTTGGATGTATATCCCGTAGAGCATTTTGGTGACTTGAGGAAGGCATCTCCTCCTCACATTTCTTTTCAATGTGTGTTGTTGTTGTTTTTGTTGTTAGTGTTTGCTTTAGCACATGGGACAACTTTGTCAAGGCTGTGAGCAAAGACCCCACAAGTCCATGTAGCCTGACTGTGAGCAAGAGGCCATGGGCCAGTCCTCTGATGGGTCCACCAGGTATGCTGTTTTCCACAGCCACCAGCTCTGACATGTACACTAGACCCTCCAGGTGGCCGCTGTTTGTCACAAAGTCTCACTGGGCAAATCTATATCATATACACATCTATAATTACAGCTGTACTTTTCTTCACTGGTAATGAGTCAAACTAATACGTTTCTCCAACTGGATTATTTCACAATAAGAATATCAACTGATGTAGCTAAAGCTCTTTAAATTTTCCTTTAAATTATTTGTTGGCTTTCATTTATCGTGAAAATAATTTTAAAACTCTGTACACTAATGTCTGTGGTATTTTAATGATTCATGGCATCTTAGATCTTTTTGGTAATAATGATGCTGATCTTCAGGATTGGTGGCTTGAGCTTTTTTGGAGGGGGCAGTACATCTTGAAAGATGTTCAAATTTGCTAAACATTTGAGAGGGTGTGTGTGTGCCTGTGTGTGGGACCAGCCCCTCTCTCCGTTGCCTGGCAGTGTGTAAAGCCAGCAACCCACTGCCCTCTACAGCTGGTGACCTACAGCCTGCAGGCAGATGGTGTGGACTTCACAGTGGGAGGATCCGAGCAGCATTCACACCCCCACTCTCCCTCTTGTCCTGCAGACTCGCTATCCGTCTCCAGTAACGACGCCAGTCCACCCGCCTCCGTGGCTTCCCTCCAGCCCCACATGATTGGGGCCCAGAGCTCACCAGGGCCCAAGCGGCCAGGCAACACCCTGCGCAAGTGGCTCACCAGTCCTGTGCGGCGGCTGAGCAGCGGCAAAGCCGACGGGCACGTGAAGAAGCTGGCCCACAAACACAAGAAGAGCAGGGAGGTCCGCAAGAGTGCCGATGCCGGCTCGCAAAAGGACTCCGATGACAGCGCAGCCACCCCACAGGATGAGACAGTGGAAGAGGTGAGTTTCTGCCAGCCTGACTGTGAGGATGTACCAGGGCCCACCTTGGAGTTAGCTGTTTATTTTATTTATATATTTTTTTGAGATGGGATCTCACCATGTAACCCAGGCTCGTCTCAAACCCCTGGGCTCAAGGGATCTTCCTGCCTCACCCTTCCCTGTTGCTAGGATTACAGGCACATGCCACCATGCCTAGCAGGTTTAGCCATTTAAATTATGGTAGGCCAAAAGCTAGAACCCCCCTCAAACATCTTATTTTCCTTGTTTTTGTTGTTGTTGTTGTTTCAAGTTGTTTATCTTAGAAATAAATGAATTTGATTCTGTTACCCATACTTTTCCATTAAAGTTTTTGCTTAGCAAACTGTTAACCTAGGTTGGGACAGCTTAAAAGGATTGGAATTGCTGTTCTCCTGTAAGCGTGGTCAGGATCATAGTGGCTTTTTTTTTTTGAGTTGGAGTCTTACTCTGTCGCCCAGACTGGAGTGCAGTGGCTGCTCCCGGCCACCGCAGCCTCGACCTGCTGGGCTCCGGCGATCCTTCCTTCTCAGCTTTCCAAGTAGCCAGAATTACAGGCGTGCGCTACCACGCCCGGCTGAGTTTTTGATTTATTGTAGAGATGAGGTCTCGCCTGCCCAGGCGGGTCTCGAACCCGCGGGCTCAGGCAATCCACTCACCTCAGCCTCCCAAAGGCACGGGATTACAGGCTGAGCCACCTAGCCGGCTCATAGTGGCTTTTGATAAAGGAATCAGACCACCCGGAGCTCTTGCTCTTGCCCCAGGTCCAGTTAGCCCCCAGGCCAGGAGGAAGGGAACACTGGCATCTCAGCCCCCTCCTCCTCACTCTGCAATGAGGCAAAGCCAGGAGGCACTGTGCAGTCTGCAGAAGATTTGAGTACTCCCTGAGGTTAGCTCTAAACTTCATGGCAGCATTTTGCAGGGAAAACTCAAATTTGAAACTTTGAAGGACATGTGGAATGTTTGCATTCTCCAATTGTTTTTCCCCAGTATTTATACTTACAGCTCATCCTGAGTGGAAAATATCCCATTAATTCACTTTGCTGACCCAGTAGTAATTACTGTATTATTCCCATACCACCAAAGAGAAATGCATATAGGTCAGCCAGGAAGTTTTTTTATTTCCATTTTTCCAGGGGGGGGGGCTTTAAATTATACTGTAAAAAACAGAATTCCTTCATGATGCCCGAAGTGGCCTTCAGGGCTGGTGGTGTCAGTGAGGGCCTTCAGTGATCTTAACTTGGACCCCTCCCTTTCAAATCCCACACAGGCTCGAAAAAGAAAAGGCAGAGAGGCAAGATCAGATATGTATCATTTTATTAATTTGGCAGATGAGTACTTTCTGCTGGGTTTTTTCCTAAGCATATTTTTGCCATTAGCAAAATAGTTGGAGTGTGCCAGTCATTATGTACTTAAATATCTGCTTTATAAATCTGTCCTCTTAGTAAAAACTAAAACTGAAAAGTTTTTCCAAAAGCAAGAATAAAGGAAAATACTTAATTCAGATTCTTGAAATGTATCTTGGATTATATTTTTCTTTATGCCATTATCAGTGAATTTAAAGTGGCTCCAACCTGAACCTCTTTTTAGTTGACTTCTTGAAGATGAGATGTGTTCAGAGCCTAATGGATAATGTTATGTTGGCAGTCCCTACAGATGCCACATTCAGTGGCCCTGCTCATCCAAGTTGGCAAGCAAGGTAGTTGGATTGCAGAAAGGGGATGAAAATTTACCATCAAGGCCTGTTCCTAACTTCTGCCATCTCATTCTCTGTCCTCATCATACTTTTCTGGTTAACCCCTTGGGGCCCTGTGTCTATGAACTGGCCTAGATGCTAATGAACACATGTCAATTTGATTTCAGAGAGGCCGGAATGAGGGCCTGAGCAGCGGCACTCTCTCCAAATCCTCCTCCTCCGGGATGCAGAGCTGTGGAGAAGAAGAAGGCGAGGAGGGGGCCGATGCTGTGCCCCTCCCCCCACCCATGGCCATCCAGCAGCACAGCCTCCTCCAGCCAGACTCACAGGATGACAAGGTAAAGGGGGCCTCAGGCTGTGGGGAACCACACCCGCCCTGTGCCCTGGGCAGGGCCATCTGGCTAGCTCCACACCAGTGTGATTTCAGGAGACTCAGGGGTGTGGAAAAGGCGCATGCCTGTACCCCGAGAGCGGGAAGACAAGGCCCTTTAGAAGGGCAGTAGGCCTGCGTGGGAGCCTCTTATGCATATGCGGCTCAGAGCACTCTTAATGACACTTCAGTCATTGCTGTCTTTAAAGTCATGGTAAAGTTTCCTCAGTCCCTGAGAGAACAGGGAAATCCCATGCCACCTGCCTGAACGGGTCACTGACCATCTTCTCGACCATCTTCTCTTTCTGGGGTGTCATTGCACACGGGTTTCGGTTTTAAGATGAGATTATATTGCTGTCCAATAACGTCTTCCAGCCTACCAAACATTGGTTTGTGGGATCAATACACTAGCATGTGGATGCAATTATCTCAGTAGAGCAATCAGTTGAAAGCCAGCACTCTCCTCTTTGGATATATGCAGAAGCATCAAGCCAAGAAAATTTACTTTTAAAAATAATAAATAGTCTTTTTTTATTCAATAAATATCAAATAAGCACATACTCTGTACTAGGTCCCATAAGTATTTTGCTTGGTGGATCGTTTCATACACTAAGATAATCATTGGCTTTCTGAGTTCTTACATAATCTGAAATTATTTTTTCTTCCCAAATATGGAACCCTAAAAATAAAATATCAAAAACTCCAGGCGTGGTGGTTCATGCCTATAATCCCAGCACTTTGGGAGGCCGAGGTGAGAGGCTTGCCTGAGCCAATGGGTTCAAGACCAGCCAGGGCAACTTGGCGAGACCTCATCTCTACAATAAATCAAAAAATTAGCCGGGCGTGGTGGTACATGCCTGTAGTTCCAGCTACTTGGAAGGCTGAGGCTGAAGGATCGCCTGAGCCCAGCAGGTCGATGCTGCGGTGGCCATGAACATGCCACTGCACTCCAGCCTGGGCGACAGTGTGAGACTCCAACTCAAAAAACAAAATGTCAAAAAGGAAACCTGATAAACGTAACTTGCACATCCTTTAGCATTCTGGCCCCCTGTTCCCCTCAAAATTGTCAGGTGTTGAAAATCATACTATGAAGTCATAACTGGTGATGGAGTTTTTTTGGCAGTAACTACATTTTCTGGATAAAGCAAATACGTTTTCAACATTTTTTCTTTATTCATTCCCCTTTTCCTTCCCTAACTTCCTTGTCAGTGTTGGCACAGTCACTTGCAAGATTAATCACCCTGAATTTTATGACCAAGGATCTGCCCCAGCCAGTGGTGGACAGCTGTGAGGCGGAGTCAGTCACACATCCACATTAACCCAAGGCAGACATTTCCACAGCCCCTTCTCTGTACATCCACTCTGTCCTCCCTTTCTAACACAATGCCCACACACTGCACAGTGCTGAGGGGCGTAGAATGGTGGCCGCGAGCTGCAGGACTTGGCTTAGGTTTGAGTTCTGGAGTTGCGTCTGCACCTGAGGTGCAGGCCCCTGGCTGTGTGGTGAGGAGAAGGAAGGGGGAGCCTGAGGGGAGAGAGGACGCAGCACCCCCGCCTCCCCACCTCGTGCACAGGGTGACTAGCTACACGTGGGCTGTGTGGCTTCTCTGACATTTCCTACGCTGTTTTGTAATACTCTAAACCGTACCTTTTTAAAAAGCAGAAAACTGGTATTTTCTAAGTCTGAGAGATTATATAAACAATGAAGGTATGGGCCTTGTTGACTTGTTCACCTGATAAGGAACTTTCTCCATTTTAAGAGTGAGTTACTTTTACAAAGAACTGATTACCACATGTTTTCACTCAAAAGTGGATCCTGAGTAATTATCATAATACTTCTAAAAAGGGATTGGCAGAGGGGGAAACTGTCAGGGGTGGGGGAGGGAGCACACTTCATCAATAAGGGTACCTGATCTCAAACCAGGCGAAGTGAGACCCAAACTTTACCTGTACAATGACCATTTGTTTATCTAATCCTGAATTGTACCCCACATCCTTAAAATAAATAAATAAAAAGAGTGAGTTGCATTATCCTCTTCTATTTGCTAGAGTCATTGATAGGTCATTGCGTTACCTCATTGAGAATTATCAGTAGCAGTTCTTCATTTACAAAAGTTTGTAGTGATGTTCCCAGACAGTATATTATCTTGTGACTAATTTTTTGTTTTGTTCTGTTTTCTCTTTTTGTAAACTTTCACTGCAGCATTATGTTGATTTGTGTTCTGTGTCTGTTTTGGCTCAGTTTCCTTACCTTTCCATTTGAATTCTTTTTTGTCTGTTTTGTTTTCTTCATCCCATATTCCAGATTTCATTAGACCAAACCAGCATTTGTTTTGCAAAGTGCATATTTTGACCCACATGTGTAAAAGCCTTGTTGTGAACGTACAAACTTGTATCCGTCTGCCTGAGGAACGCATGGCTGGGACAGCTAGCCGTGTCTCGCATGCACCTCTGCTGTGCTTAATATGAAGCAAGGTTCATATTATGCCCTCTTCTAGTTCCCAGTTAATTACCACGCAAGTAATCTGCAAACATACTGTGTTTGCTAATTACTGAAACTCGAACTTAGTGGCCCTCCCCCCAGATTTCCTGACTGTCACCCCGTTACGCCCTCGATTCTAGCCATAAGTGGCATCTGATAGCTTGTGAGGCCTCAGCTCTTCTGTCCTCTGCACTAATCATGGGGAAATGGATGGCACAGAAAATGGTGAGCTCGTCCCCATCCCCCCTCCCCCCGTCACTGCACCCTGCTCCTCTCCTCTTTCTCGTTTCTTTCTTTTCTTAATCCCATAAACATAGTAAAGTCATTTTTAGTATCCTGTTTTGTTTCCTGGTTATTTGAGGATTCACTCATTAGACCTCAAGCCTCTCATTCTTTGTAGATCCGATTCTGTGTTCTTTCTCCTTAGCCTAAAGCCTCGCCAGCTGTCGCGAAAGTTACAGTTAGAATACTCCCGTGCCCAGTCACCTCTCTGAAAAGCATTATGATGTCACATGACTGCAGATTAAAAACAGACATTGTCTGCTTTCCACATGTATCCTGGACAGGTTTTATTTCATGTTTCATGTCAGAACATTGTAAATTTAAAAGGATGACTTTAAATAAATGCAAACAAAGACAAACTTGTGGTCTTTTTGTCTGGAATCACTTTTTAAAAAGGATGGAGCTTGCAGGGGAATTTACTGTCTGTCCAGTTACTAACGTGAGGCCTTCTCCTCCCCCCTCTTTTCTTAACTTCTTCTGTAGGCTTCCTCTCGGTTATTAGTCCGCCCTACCAGCTCCGAAACACCGAGTGCAGCTGAGCTTGTCAGTGCAATTGAGGAACTCGTGAAAAGCAAGATGGTAAGGCTTCTCAAAGAAGGTCAAGATATGGAAGCTGCTCTGATTTGCTGCTTGCAGATTTGCCCTTTCCATGTGCTGCTCTGGGCTGCAGAATGTGGCTGTAGCTTTTGCACAGCTCAGGAGTCCCCAGGACCACCCTTACTTCTGACCAGCTGCAAGTTTGGAGGCCCCCACAACCACCCTCAGGTTCACTTATTTGAAGGACTCACTGAGGAGGCTGAGGTGGAAGGATCACTTGAGCCCAGGAATTCAAGACTATCGTGGTAGTGAGCACTGGTTATGCCATTGCACTCCAGCCTGGGTGACAGAGTAAGACCCCAAGTCAAAAAAAAAAAAAGAGAGAGAGAGAGACAAGTTGACTAAATGGTATAAACAAAAGGTGCTTAAATTATATCCAGTGAGTTTTCAATCATCCTTAAACATTTTGTGAAAAGCCATATATACACACTGATTAAATGATCATTAAGACCATTCTTATCTCAGTGTTGAAATGGTTTTCCAGGGAATACTATGAGGCAAAGCTGGTCATTATTCTGCATGTATATATAAGTTATAGCCCACTTTATATGGTCTGCAGTTCATTTGGAATTAATTCAAGTGTACTAACAAATGAAGAGATGGTCTATGGCATGGGGTCATTTTTGACTCTTACGGCTTAGTCTCCTTTTGTAATTCTGAGGAGTTTAATTTTCTCAGTTTACTCAGCTGAAACTAAGTTTCTGCTGCTCACATATGTCTCTTCTTAAGTTAGCAGACGTAAAGCTATTGGCACAGTAAAAAGAACATAGGTTTTAGAGTCAAATAAACTTGGGACCACAATCTCCTACTTTCAGTTGAATTTACCAGGCCAGTGTCTCTGAGCCTCTCTGAGCCTGTGACTTTTAGGAATAAATGGGGGCGCTCTTTGTTGCGTTCCTAACCAGGTTCCATCCTCAGGGCATTCACTGATGCCTTCCCTCCCCTTAGGGGAACCTATTTATGCTTTATATGATAGATTTGTTCCTTCTTCATTAGCCATGGAATGTATCTGTAGTCTGCCCCCTTTTTCTGGTTGTCGAGAAACATAACTGCACTGATTTCCTATCACTAATCCTCTGATGTCAAGTGGGAACTTCTTTTTGTCAGTAAGAACTGTAGTGAATCATTTTAATGTCCTTCAACTTCTCCTGCTTCCTGTGTGACTCTGCAGTAGATCCTTAGTCATCCTCATTTCTTGTGAGTGATTTCTGAGACTGTCACACCTTCATAATTGGATTTGAACACTGAATTGCTTGTCCATCAGAAGCTATGTATTAATTTCTTGGGTTGGGGAGGAGAGAAGTTTGACTGTCATACAGTATGATGTTCAAGGAACTGAACCTACCTAAAACCTGACTATTCGACTTGAAAAACAAAAGCCTCCCTGGAAACTTCCCTGGGAGTCACTCCTCTCTTCTCCCTCCACATTCTTGATTCAACTGGTTATTTTAAAGGTTGGGTCTACTTCTTACACCTTGACAATAGAGTAATAGTAGCCTACCACTATAGTGACCAAACTAGTTTTCTTCTTTTCTTCTGATCAAAATATAAAGGGAGATACAAGAAAGAGTAAAAATAAATGAGATGACATCGAACTCAAGATGTTATAAAAAAACAATAAACCAGAGAAAAGCAGAAGGAATGAATTTAGAAAGATAAAAGCAGAACATTAATGAGTTGAAAAACAGTAGAATAATAAGCAAAACCAAAAATGTGTTCTTTAAGCAAATATAAACATTAGGTAAACCTCTCAAGAAAATAGGAAGCACAAATTCACAATATTAAGAAATTATGAGGGGGATTAAACTGAGGAAATTAAAACAATCATAAGATATTATTTTGTCCAACTCTTTGAAAATAAATTTGAAATGATACCTGAATGAATTGGGCACTTTCCTAAGAAAATATAATTTATCATAACTAACCTCATAAGAGATAGAATATCTATGCAGACCTTCTTCATATAAGAAATAGAGAAAGTTGACAAGAGACAAAAAGCAAAGTTAGAGGCTTTCACAGGTAATTCATCCAAGATCCATAAAGTCCTAGTAATTGCAGCATTGAGACTGTTTGTGCTAGTGACAGACTTCTCACACATATTGGTGTAATAGACAGATGGACCACATGGAGGAAGTGAACGTCATGAATGTGACAAGAACATATAACCATGACAGCATCCACATCAGGGCACTGCACCCTCTTAGGCTGCCTATCCTAGTCAGGACAGATCAGATCTGAGGACAGGCATCTAGAGGGGCCTTGAGACTCCTGTGTTTCAGGTCCAGCCAGCTATTCCACCACTCTGCCATATGGGTCCCCAAGGACACCAGGTCCATGCCTTTACCTCCTGGCTCTCTCCTCCATAAAGGGACCAGAGGGAGCTTTGTCTTGTCTTTTTTCTCATTGTTCAAGTGAACAGAATCCAGTCTAATGGGCTTCAGCCATCCAGAGGGAAAACAGTACAACATTCTCCCCTCCCTGTCTGGGACCTGAGCCTCTTGTCAGAGACGTACTTTATCTCACAAGCATGAATCAAGCTCTGCTACTTTCAGCAAAATGTTTGCTTTCAATAAAGGTTAATAACTGTTTATTTAAAAGAGTGCAACTAGCCGGGCTCGGTGGCTCAGCCTGTAATGTCGTGCTTTGGGAGGCTGAGGTGAGTGAATTGCCTGAGGCTGCGGGTTCGAGACCTGCCTGGGCAACTCGGCGAGACCTCATCTCCACAATAAATCAAAAATTAACCAGGCGTGGTACCGCACACCTGTAGTTCCAGCTACTTGGAAGGCTGAGGCAGAAGGATTGCCAGAGCCCAGCAGGTTGAGGCTGCGGTGGCTGGGAGGGACCACTGCACTCCAGTCTAGGTGACAGAGTGAGACTCCAACTCAAAAAAAAAAAAGTGCAACTTTCAGATCAGAGTCTGTTCCTTAACTAACTTAATGTCCTGTTTTTCAAAGCTAAGAACAGCAGTTGGTGTGTTTTTTATAGCTCCGTGGGTTTTGACAAGATTGCATGTACAGACTTTGTGTCCTCAAAGCCCTGCTTCGTGGTGAAGTGACAGTCAGTTACTGATAAGGGGAAAAAACAGGACAAATACTAGAGATTTAATTTATTAATATCAAATGTAGTACGTGTTAAGTGAAGTATTAAGTTTTCTTGCAGTTTGTATTATACTGTTTATCCAAAGATAAATTAATCACCTTTTTTCCAATACAATCATTTCTATATATAGCTCGTTGCTTTGGAATTTTTTTTTTTTTTTTGAGTTGGAGTCTCACTCCGTTGCCCAGGCTGGAGTGTAGTGGCACTCACGCTCACAGCCACCTCAGCACTGACCTTCTGGGCTCTGGTGATCCTTCCACCTCAGCCTTACAAGAAGCTGGAACTGCAGGTGTGTACTACCTCGCCCAGCTAATTTTTTTTTTAATTTATTGTAGAGACAAGGTCTCACCAAGTTGTCCAGGTTGGTCTCGAAACACGGGCTCAGGCAGTCCACTTGCCTTGGCCTCCCAAAGTCCTGGGATTACAGGCTGAGCCACCGATCTCAGACGCTTTGGAAATTTTAAAAGAACTATAACTCCTGTGTGCTTGTGAATCCAGTAAAGCAACAAAATCAATGTGTATCAATGAAAAAGTGATCAGTTGCTAGTCATTGCGACATTAATTCAGGGAGGGGTCATCGATTTTTTGACTTGATTTATTAAACATCTGCAAAGATTTAGGTGAGGTTCTACAGGGAATACAATGATTTAAGAAATCACCTGTAGGAGCTAAAACAGCAGGGGAGAGAGTTTTGGAGAAGCAACTGAGTATTACTTTCTGTAGAAGGGATAGAGGCTGGATATGGTGGCTCACACTTATAATTCTAGCACTTTGGGGAGGCAAAGGCTTGTTTGAGGCCAGCCTGGACAACAGAGGAAGACCCCATTTTTTAAAAATTACCCAGGCATGGCAGTGTGCACCTGTAGTTCTAGCTACTCAGGAGACTGAGGCAGGAGAATGCCTTGAAGCCTAGGAGTTTGAGTCTATAGTGAGCTATGTTCATGCCACTGCACTCTGGCCTGGATGGCAGAGTGAGACCACATGAGTTCAGAGCATGGTGTGTGGCTGTACCAGGTCATTTACTGATAGTTTTACACAGACTACATTGCCATCTTCATTGACCAGAGGTTGCTGATCACTGTTAGCCATAGCTAGACCACTACCTTTCCTACTGGCCTAGAGCCATCTACAGGCTAATCCCTGCCAGTGATTTCAAGGCACTACCTCTTAAAGAAAAAAAAAAGTAGTAGTAATAGAATGGAAGTTGTAATATCAAGATTAATTTTAGCAGCGTGATCTGGGCACGTTGAAGTATAAGTGAAGGCTTCATGGATAATCAAGAAACAAACCAAGTCATTTAAACCACGTTCTCCTGATGTTGCCACCTAGCCCACCAACAAGGAATTGGGACCCTCTTCAGGCACCACACTGGTCTGCCCTACACACTTCTGACGTGCTTGTACTTGCATTTGGCAGGAATATAACCACAAATAAACTGCTAAATTCAGAATGTGTGGTATATCCAAAAATGGGTACAGTGCCCTGATGCAAGCAAGAGTATCATCTCTGATTATTTGGTAACAAGGAATCGAATATATTAATGTATGTCAATTTATTATACTTTCCAGTCTATCTTTCTTCTTTTGTTCAGCTTCTTTGATTCAATTTTTGTGTCGATACTAGAGGTTTTGTGTTGTTAAATACTGTGTAATTTCTTAAACATAAAGATTTTGCAGTTGTACAAACACATCTTCTGTTTTCTCATCCCAATTTCAGCCTGAATGGGCTGGAGGCAGTAAGTGTTGCCGATTCTCTGAATTTCTTCCAGGCTCTGGAAGATCGTCCCAGCTCACTCCTGGTTGACCAGGGTGACAGTAGCAGCCCTTCCTTCAACCCTTCGGACAACTCCCTTCTCTCTTCCTCCTCGCCCATTGATGAGATGGAAGAAAGGAAGTCCAGCTCTTTAAAGCGAAGGCAGTAAGACAGAAATGTTTTCCTTTTCTTGTTTTATGGGTTCCCTCCTGCCTTTGTCACCTTCAAAAGTGTGCCTGGGATTCAGCTCTGAATTAACATAGTGAAGAGTGCCAGGGTCTCCAGCTGAGTCACTGCACATGTGTGTAATGGACTCAGAGCCTCAGAAGGCGCCAGAAACCATAGCCATAGAGTCTGTGGTTTGATGTGTATATTATACTTTATAAATAAGCATGGCACAAATCAAAGATATCTTGTTACTTCTGGTGAGAAACTCCTAGACTTTTTATTGTATACATAGTTGTAAAAGAAAAAGAAGGTAACAAAATTAGAACCAGTCCCAAAAACATGAATTATTTTTCAAACATACCTTAGTGGTAGCATTTCTCAATTCCAGTAAAGGAACTTATGGTTAAAAAAAAAAAAAAGTCCTGAAAAATGTTGCAAAAGGTTTAAACCTGCCTTTGGAAAAGAGAAAAAGCTGTAAGCTGCATGAGAGTGGAGACTTAGTTTTATTCAATGGGAATCCCAGCACCTCAGATGGCCGTTGGGCCCATGGAGTTGTCAGGTTGATGTTGGTTAAATGAATGAATGAACAAGGGAATGAACCTTCTCAGGCCTTGAGGTTGTTTGCTTGCATAGTGGCCTTTATTAAACATTTGCTGAATTTTACAAACAGATACTTCTGAGCGTTGTGATTAGATCTTAGATCCAAGGTTTTTGTTTTTTTGAGTTGCAGTCTCACTCTGTTACCCAGACTGGAGTGCAGTATCATGCTCCCGGCCACCGCAGCCTCAACCTGCTGGGCTCCGGCGATCCTTCCGCCTCAGCCTTCCAGGTAGCTGGAATTACAGGCACGCGCTACCACGCCCAGCTAATTTTTGATTTATTGTAGAAATAAGGTCTTGCCAAGTTGCCCGGACGGGTCTCGAACCCGCAGGCTCAGGCAATCCGCTCACCTCAGCCTCCCAAAGTGCTGGGATTACAGGCTGAGCCACCAAGCCCGGCTAGATCCAAAGTTTTAAACATCTGAGTTAAAGTTTTTTTATGTATGTCTAGTGAAATATTTTTGTTTTTGTTATTTTTGAGTTGGAGTCTCACTCCGTCGCCCAGGCTGGAGTGCAGTGGCACACTCACTGCCACTCCAGCATCGACCTACTGGGCTCTGGTGATCCTTCCGCCTCAGCCTTCCAAGTAGCCGAAACTACAGGCGCATGCTACCACACCTAGCTAATTTTTTGATTTATTGTAGAGACAGGGTCTCGCCAAGTTGCCCCAGCTGGTCTCGAACCTGCGGGCTCAGGCAATCCCCTTGCCTCAGCCTCCCAAAGTGCTGGGATTACAGGCTGAGCCACCAAGCCTGGCCTGTCTAGTGAAGTTTAAAATGACTTAATCATTTTTTTTTAAAAGCCACTTTCTTTAATGTCATGACTTTATAACAAAGTTATATCTAAGCCTCTGTTTGTTGTTCATATATGTGATCAGAATCCAGTAGGGTGAATTTGACCCTATTGCACCCATGCATGTGTGCGTATGTGTCTTGTGATTGTTGGAGCTCTCATGGGTCTTACTTGAACCTGTAAGTGATTTGGAACACTCTAGAATTTAAGACTTAGTTGCACAAATTTGATATATTACTATTCAATCCCAGAAAAAGTCTATCATAACAGGAACAAAAGTGAAAAAAAAAGAAAAAAAAACTTTTTTAATAGCAAACACTGTTTATAGAGTTTGATCACAAACACTTTTTTCTCTCTCTTTCTAGCTACGTTTTGCAAGAATTAGTGGAGACAGAGCGTGACTATGTACGGGACCTTGGCTATGTGGTTGAGGTGTGTATTTTCAGAGATTTAATAACCTGATATCAGCCCCAAGGTTGTCCAAGGAAGTATCATTTTAGACAGTTAACACTGATACGCCAAACTGCTTAGGGGTTAATTTAACCAACCCTCTTCTTCCCCGTCATTGTACTGTAACTGAGACAGAAGAAACAATGGGATATGTGGAATTTCTAACAACAGTCAAATGGAAAAGCATAGATAATTACTGTAGACATGATAAAAGAAACATTTTGTATGTTCTTAGACTCAAAATGTGATAAAAGTGCCTTTTCATGTGGTGCCAGTTGTGTGTTGATTGGCTAGATTTCTCCCATCTGTTTTAAACAAAAATGGAATTGACAAATCATTTTTTACAAATTAAAAGAAATCCAAAAATTAAAATTTAACCAGTTATCTTAATCATCTCTATTCAGTTGTAAACGCTTTTTTTGCATAATGCATCTTGATGTGATCTTTTCTTTTTTACAATTAAGTTTTGGGTTTGGGGTTTTTGTTTTTTTTTTATGTATTTATTTTGGTTACCAGGTTTTGCTCAGTTGCCCAGGCTGGAGTGCAGTGGTGCAATTATAGCTCAATGTAGCCTCAAGTAATCCTCCCACCTCAGCCTCCCAAGTAACTGGAACTACAGGCACACTACCGTGCCTAATTTTTTTTCTTTTTTTTGTAGAGACAAGATCTCCCTATGTTGCCCGGGCTGGTCTTGGACTCCTGGCCTCAAGCAATCCTCCCACCTCAGCTTCCCAAAAGTGCTAGGATTTATGAGTGTGAGCCACTGCACCCAGCCTGCTCTGGAGATTTTATTTTTATTTTTATTTTTTGAGTTGGAGTCTCACTCTGTCACCCATACTGGAGTGCAGTGGCATGCTGCTCACAGCCACCGCAGCCTCGACCTGCTGGGCTCAGGCTATCCTTCTACCTTAGCCTTCCAAGTAGCTAGAATTACTGGCTTGCGCCACCATGCCCAGCTAATTTTTTTTTTATTTATTGTAGAGGTGAGGTCTCACCAAGTTGCCCAGGTTGGTCTCAAACCCATGGACTCAGGCAATCTTCTTCTACAATTCAGTTTTTAAATTGTTATATCTAACCATTGCATGTATTAGATGGGAATCCTGTCTTGAATTATTTCACAAGTGTGGCTATCACTACAGAAATGAATTAGTTCTGGTTAGATGATTGTTTGAAAAGTCACTGTGGCCAAGCTGCGAATTCACTTCCATCCAGAATCCACACATGCCAAGAGCTTGGTCTATGGCTGTACCGGGTCATTTACTGATAGTTTTGTGCAGACATTTTTTACATCGCCATCTTCATTGACCAGACATTGCTGGTCACTGTGTTTGCCATAGTTAAACCACTGCCTTTCATACTGGCATAGAGTTATCTCCTAGCTAATCCCTGCCACTAATTCAAGGCACTATCAGATTTATAAACTCAATTTTTCAAAAAGTGATTTTTGTGACTAGTGTTCAGAGCCCACTTATGAGTAAGAACACAAGATATTCAGTTCTTTATTTCTGTGATAGTTCACTTAGTATGATGGTCTCCAACTCCATCCAATTTGCTGCAAAGTCCATGATTTTGTGGTTCTTTATAGTTGCTTAATACTCCATCATGATCCACTACCCAGCGGAGTGAGGGCGAATTAGAAGCCCAAACTTCAGCTGCATGCAGCCTACCTATGTAGTTAACCCTCACTTGGACCCTACAGCTCTGTAATAAAAAATAAAAATGTACAAGACAATCCTTTTTGGGTGCATAATTTCTGTTTGTATGAGATCAATAAAATGCTGAAAACAGGAAATGTGCTTCTAACCAGATTTTTAATATTTACAAACTAATAAGACTATTTGTTTTCATGCAAACATTTATATTTATTTTAACTTCCTAGTTTTTTAGAAAAATTTTGATCTATGCATGCCGAACAGTTCAGGGAGAGAAAATTACAGCAATGATATAGTGGTATAGTTCAAGTACCAGTTAAGGATACTCTTCACATAGAATTTTTTGTTTGTTTTAAAATAAAGAATGCTCGGTGACTCAGCCTGTAATCCTGTGCCTTGGGAGGCTGAAGTGAGTGTATTGCCTGAGCCCATGGGTTCAAGACCCGCCTGGGCAACTTGGCGAGACCTCATCTCTACAATAAATCAAAAATCAGCCAGGCGTGGTAGCGCACGCCTGTAATTCCGGCTATTCGGAAGGCTGAGGCGGAAGGATCACCAGAGCCCAGCAGGTCGAGGCTGCGGTGACCGGGAGCGGCCACTGCACTCCAATCTGGGCTACAAAGTGAGACTCCAACTCAAAAATAAAAAATAAAATAAAATAAAAAATGAGCTACAAGATGGTGCATATGTCAATTTTGTCCTCTGTAACTATTCATCAATAAGCCACTACTTGATCCAAACACATTTCATGAAATATGTTTACTTTTAACCATTCATTTATAGGGCTACATGGCACTTATGAAAGAAGATGGTGTTCCTGATGATATGAAAGGAAAAGACAAGATTGTGTTTGGCAACATTCATCAAATTTATGACTGGCACAGAGAGTACGTAAACACATGTTGTTCCTGATGGTATGCAAAGTATCCATACTTGCTAAACCACAGCAGGCCAGGCCAGGGCTAAAGGGGTTTGTTCTAGCCAGGCTCGGTGGCTCAACCAGTAATCCCAGCGCTTTGGGAGGCTGAGGTGAGTGGATTGCCTGAGCCCGCAGGTTCGAGACCCGCCTGGCCAACTTGGCAAGACCTCATCTCTACAATAAATCAAAAAATTAGCCCAACATGGTAGCGTGTGCCTATAGTTCCAGCTTGGAAGGCTGAGGCAGAAGGATTGCCGGAGCCCAGCAGGTCAAGGCTGCAGTGGCCAGGAGCGGCCACAGCACTCCAGTCTGGGTGACAGAGTGAGACTGAGGTGGAAGGATTGCCGGAGCCCAGCAGGTCGAGGCTGCAGTGGCCGGGAGCGGCCACTGCACTCCATTCTGGGTAACAGAGTGAGACTCCAACTCAAAAAAAAGGAGGGGGTTGTTCTTTTGTTCTGTTACCTGTGTAGCCTCCCAGGAGTTCTGTAGTAGCATTTGATGGTACAGGAAGAGTCTCTTTGTGCTGGTCCATGCTGAGAAGCTGTGCGGCGGTGTAGCCGGAGCACTAGTGCTGAACCTGACTGCCTGGGCTTGTGACCAGGTCCTCACCTCGAGCCACTGGCCTCCCCACTCTGCACTTTCACTCTTCATGTGCCCACCTGGAACCTCCTGTTGCCCACCTCATGGGATTTTGTGAAGAATGACTGAGTTAATACTTGTAAAGCACTTAGAAAAACATCTGCATAGAGTAAGCCTCAATAAGTGTTTCTAACTAGAATTGCAGCCAGGTTTAAAATAAATACCATTATTCTTAGACGACTTTGAAGATATTAACTTGTCCAACTCAGTTTTGTTTTTGTTTTTATTTTTGTTTTGAGTTGGGGTCTCACTCTGTCACTCAGGCTGGAGTGGAAACCATCATGGCTCACCACATCCTAGACCTGGGCTCAGGCGATCCTTCCACCTCAGTCTCCCGAGTAGATATGGTTACAGGCACACGACTCCTGGCTAATCTTTTTTTAATTTTTTTTGTAGAGACAAGAGCTCACTATGTTACCTAGGCTGATCTTAAAACCTAGGCTCAAGCAATCCTCCCACTGCAGTCTCCCAAAGTGCTGAGATGACAGGCATGAGCTACCGTACCTAGCCCCAACTCAGTTTTAATGGAAAACATAAGTATGAAGTTGAGAATTGATCCCAGTACCTTGCCCAGACCTGTCCTCATCAGAAAGAGAGCCACGTGGGGGCTGGTGCTACAGCAGCTCACCTCATCCTACCAGAGCTTATCGCCACACACCTCTTTTTGGGTCACTTTGCTTATAATTTTAGAAGTCCTTAGACATCTGAGGCTTACTTAATACCAGCCGTTGGCTTCACAGTGAAATGTGGCAGCTGCACTGCCTGCTCCATGTTACCGACAGGCCTCCTGCTGTCCTGTCTTGATGAGCATTGCTGCTCCATCTATCCAGAGCATGCTGTCATCACCTCCAAAGTCCCATCCCCTCTCTAAAACTCAGCTCAGGTACTTATTTCTCCAATAAGCCTGTGCATTTCAGTCAGACCTGTTCTCTCCTACAGATAGCAGATTTGAATGTGCTCTTTAAATGACACAAATAGTATTGTACAGTATTATTCAAATACCATCGTATATAATACAGATATAAGGGGGAAATACAGTGGTGTGTCTCAAGTCATGTTTTGTTATTTCTGTACTTCTCTCTCCTAACAGAATGTAAAACTTTGAATCCAGGGCTGAGATCTTTATTTCCATGTCCCCTGTAATGCCTAATTTAGTTGAACTTACAGATAAATGATTGGTCACCTTTAGAAACAGCACTCTGATTTATAACTCTATAGACTGTAGACTTACTGAAAGTCTACAGTAAAACCAGTTTTTAGAAGACTGTTTGGTATTGCTGTTTAGTCTTCTAATCCCAAGGCTGTTTTTTAAGGAAGGAGGAAAAGACACTACATTCCTGGGGTGTCCTGATAGAGAAATTGCATGCAGAGATGCTCTCTACCACAGCGTTTACAGAGAGGAAGGATAGTAAATGTATTCATTGGCATGGTGGTTTGCAGGTGAACAAGATGCCAGATATAAATACAAGTACACATAAGTGACGATGAAGTAGACATACATCTTAAGGACAACTCTAGCCCAGAAGAAATGAAGAGTTGTCCTGTAGCTATTTTATTACTGATTTTAATCTTAAAGAGAGCTAATATTTATATTAGCTGTTATCCAATTTGAGCTTCTGAAAATTATAGAATGAATATGAGTCTCACAGATATAAAGACGAAGTTTTCAGAAATAAAAAATGGCCAAGGGCTTAGAAACATTTATTTTTCAAGTAGTCTCAGTTTTCTACCCAGGATATTAGCCCTGTGTCCTTGAACAAACTGAGACAAAAATATGTGTTGTCCAAAGGCCAAGAAGGTTACTAGTCGAGGGAGGCCTGTCCTCCTTGTCTCTGTTAACTATGTGTCCCCTTTTGCTCAACAGCCTAGCAGAGTGGTTTCTGTATGCATTATATTTGTTAACTGTGTACATTACACTTCTAGTTGCTCATGTCAAAACATTATCTTAAAATATAAACCTAAAACTAAAATTAGAAGGCCGCACAGGAAGCGGTTCTGATAGTTTCCCTTCTTTTCAGCTTTTTTTTAGGAGAGTTAGAGAAGTGCCTTGAAGATCCAGAAAAACTAGGATCCCTTTTTGTTAAACACGTAAGTCCAACATCATTGCTTCTGTTTTGTTCTGATGTTGTCATCTTTAGTCATTGTTTTGTTGGATTGAAGAACTCACTTTTACTTTACAAGAGTGCCTATGTGAAGAATAAAATCAAATTGTAACACGTGAGTTAGCTGGAATTAAAGTCTTTTCTTCTCCACATGAGTTAACTGGTCCCCACTGGCTCTTTGGCCAATAACAGTACAGACTGGTCAGAGGGGACCAGAGACAGGCCTGAAGCAGCAGCATTAGGGTGCCTGGGGACAGACAAGTATCGGGTGAAGATGTCCTTGTAATTGCAGTGAGTTTCATGTAATAGCCAAATAAATGTGTATGTCTAAGGTTAGTGTATCAGCACTGGAGTTTTGGGGGCTTGGGATTTTGGTGGGATTTTTTTAGGAAAAAAGTCACTATTTTTTTTAAGTTAGTGACAAGAGTTTTTGCATTTTTGCAAATCTCTTTAATGTCTGGCTCAGTAGAAGACAGTTAGAATTTCATACCTGCTCCCACATTCAACCTATTGTGATTTTTTTTTAATAGTTCCAAAAAACTCCATCTTCACCCAAGTGTGTAGTTAGAAAGGAGTGTTTTATAATAGGCTTTTCAGATAATTATGCTTTTCTTAGATTACACCAAAACTTGATAGTTGATCATTTCTTAAAGGTTAGCTGCAATATGGAATCTGAAAACCTACCTGTGAACTTCTCCCTTGATATGACATTAAATCCACTGAATTGTCTCGTGCCTCAAGGCTCTTTCAGCCACGCACAGGCTTGTGACCATCATGCATGGATCATTTGGAAGATACCACCAGTTTATTGCCTCAAGCGGATCTTCCAAGGTTGACACATTTCATTACACAATATCCAAAAAATCTGATTTTTTTTTTAATATCAGCACCATCTCTTCAAAAAAAGTCTTCAAGTATTGTCAAGTTCACAGTGGCAGATAGACATTTTCCAAAATTATAATTTTTTGCTTGAAAACTGGAATTTTCATTATTAACAAGCCCTGCCAGTTGTTTGCCTTGAAATGACAGGCTTATTTTGTTCGTCTTCAAGAAAATCCCTCCTAAATAGCCAAATGTAAATAATTACAGTCTGTGTCCATCACCCTTTCAAGTAAAAATAGCAGTTTGTGAAAAAAGCGGTTAGCTCAGCTCACAGCTCAGTCGCGTAAGTGCTTTTCCTTGAAACCATTATCTTGTGCACCAGAAGTGTTTTATATGGACTTCATTTTCTCATAGGAATGTTGGAAAGATGCATAATACTCCATGGTTGAGTTTTGATAAAAGGGATGCTTCCTGTTACTGCATCAAGGACACTGTTAAGTGAAACAGGCATTTTCTATGCCATTTGGCGGCACGAAGAGTGCTTGCCGAGGTGCCAGCCATTTCACTTGCCACTGGTTTTGCACATCAGCATAGATGTCAGCACAATGCAGAAGGCAAATGACAGCTTAGTGGTATTTTGAAAATAGTTATGCCCCAACGGAGCTATTGAAAGGCCTCAGGGACCTCGGGGTCTACACACTGTGCTTTGAGGATCACTGGATTTAAGGAAAGGCTCATTGTCTACTTTTCTTTCCCTGCTTTAGGATTTCAGACTAAAGAGCTTTTTCTTCTCTAGTAAAAACAACCAGGCTTCCCAGAATTACCTATGGGACTGGGGGGAATGGCAGTAATTCCTCGTTAAGTGCTGAGAAGTAGGTTCTTTTGCTGCAGGTGGTGCTTGCTGGTATTTGGTACCACAAAGGGAAGGGTCTGGCATGTGTGAGGGAGCAATAATGAAGGAGCCACGGGGCAGAATGTTAATCTATGTCATGAAGCTGGAAGGTGCTCCAGAGGGCCTTAGCCACGCAGCTTGGTTTTAGGATAATTCCCCTTATGAATGTGAAGTATGTGTGTGCTGTCATGTTGCAATTGAACTTCCAGTTGTTTTAACCTGTCTGTTTGCCTTTTTTGTTCCTAGGAGAGAAGGTTGCACATGTACATAGTTTATTGTCAAAATAAACCAAAGTCTGAGCACATTGTCTCAGAATACATTGATACTTTCTTTGAGGTAAGACTCAAGATAGAAGCAAAGTATTTCTGAATCTTTTGTTACAATTTATTTCTAAAAGTTAAAGTATTATTGGTTTCCCCAGAGACAAGCAATCCTCAGAAAATTTGCCTGCATGATGAGAGAGTTCTGAGCCTATTTTGATTCCTTATCAATTTTATCAGAGAAATAAGTATGAATTCAGTATATGATCATACTCCCTGGCATTCAGAAGACCAGAATTGTTGTTAAAGATAAGAATTTGTAAGTTAGCTGGGCATGGTGGCACACGTCTATAGTCCCAGCCATTCGGGAGACTGAGACGGAAGCCTGAGCCCAGGAGGTCTTGGCTGTGGTGAGTTGTGATTATGCCACTACACTCCAACCTGGGTGACAGAGTAAGACCCCGACTTAAACAAATAAGCAGATAAATAAAGGTTTCTTCAAATAAGTGTTGAACTTAAATCTCATTACAAATCATAATAATTTATTATCTACGTATGCATACATGTTTGCACGAGTAAAAGAAACCAATTGAAAAAAGGTTTGTAAGCAAGCCTAATAGACTACTTTGAAAAACAGCTCAGGTTATAATGTAAAACTTTGAAATTTTGAGAAATAATAAAGTGCTATTTAGTACAAAGAGTTTTAAAAAATTACAGTTACTGCCAATTGTAGTTAGTCTTTCTGACAGTTATAAGGTCTAAAAAATTGCCCTTTAGTGAATAACACAATCTTTTTTTCCTGCTTTAAAACTGCAGGACTTAAAGCAACGCCTTGGCCATAGGTTGCAACTTACAGATTTGCTGATTAAACCAGTGCAGAGGATCATGAAATATCAGCTATTGCTGAAGGTGAGGATGTTGGGAGGACACACTCTGGCATCAGGAAGTTGGTTTGGTGAGAGGACAAGACTAGGGAAGTGAGGAGGGAGGACTTGGCATGTGAGGGGAGTTGTTTGTGTAAAAAGTACAAATCAGTTTTGTTATTTTCTGACTTTACATATTTCAAGGTAAATTTTTAGGAAGTCAATAAAATACCTTAAACCATTTTCTCTATTTTTAATTTACACCAGGTTCTGAATCAAAGGGTCAGTAAAAGTGAACTTTTTTTCCCCAACACAGACTTTGGAATGCTAATGATTTTTCTGCAGCTCTATCAACATTAAATATTTTGTAATCTTCTTGGAGTCTTGGATAAAATTAAAATTTCAATCCCTGCGTATTTTTCTCTATTGGCTTAGAACTAGCCCTTGACTTATTTAAATTATTAAGCACAACTAAAGGCAGAGTCACACCTTTTTCCATGATAAAGTGACTTTCAAGTGTATTGCGAGTCCTTCACGTATGAAACTGAGTACTGACTTTCTTTACTGCATCTTGAAACCACAGATGGATACCTTTTGTTGTGTTACTAAGAGAATAATATGAGAAGACAGAAGTAAAGCACTAGCCAGGCATGGTGGTGTATACCTGTAGTCTCAGCTACCAGGGAGACTGAAGTGGAAGAATTGCTAGAGGCCAGGATTTGGAGGTGGTAGTGAGCTGTGAACACTTGTAAGTAGCCACTGCATTCCAGTGAGTTGCATAGTGAGACCTTGTCTATTAAAAAAAATTTTTTTTAAAGAATTTATCGCTGAATCCAGTGCCTGGCACAATGTAAGTGATACAGAAGGCTAGCTGGGGTACAGTGGCTCACACCTGCAGTTCCAGCTACTGAGGAGGTTGAAGTGGGTGGATCATTTAAGGCCAGGAGTTTGAGACCAACCTGGACAACACAGCAACACTCTGCTTCTTAATAAAAAGAAAACTTTAAAAAAAGATCAGTTGCCATTGTCCTTGTCAGCATTCTCATGTCCTCCTCTGCATTTTGCTTGCAGGACTTCCTCAAGTATTCCAAAAAGGCCAGCCTGGATACATCAGAATTAGAGGTACCTGCATCACTGGCTGCACCCCCTAGGTTCCCACCAGGCTCTCCTAACCCCCGAGTGTCTCCTGGCATGGTGCACTGGCCCAGGTTGCGGCACGGGTGATGGGTCTGTCCAGTGCATCTCCATTGCCCTGTGCACACAAGAGGGGGCGGGGCGAGAGGAATGGGACTGGGAGGGTAGCGTGTCAGATCTTCCCCAGAAGGACTTGAACTTTCGCTCTGTCCCGCCCACAGAGAGCCGTGGAAGTCATGTGCATAGTACCAAGGCGGTGCAACGACATGATGAACGTGGGGCGGCTGCAAGGATTTGACGTAATGCAGCTCTTGTTCATTCAGAGGCTCCTCTGCCTGCCATCCCTATCTTTTTGTCTTGGACCATTTCTCTCTACACGTAGAATGCTGATCCTTTCTGCTTGGTTTTCTCTTATCTCACTTTACTTCAACCTGATTGATACTTTCTTTCAACGTTTTTTTTTTGGGGGGTGCATTTCTTTGCTTTTCTGGGACCTTCCTCTGCTCAAAACTCAGCTCCTCGTAGCAGAACCTAGCAGGATTGTGCTTTGTCTCTTGGGCCCTCTGTTGTTGTAAGAGCTATTTCCTTTTCCCCAGCATTTACAACCATGATAGCTCTGGATACATTAGCATGCAGGAGACCACACCCTCTGTCATTCCTGGGACCCTGATGCTCATCACTGTGTTTCTCATAGACTGAGTACTTTTATAAGAGTTGCCAGACTCCTCATATTACATAGTACCTGTTATGTATCCAGAGATGAATTTGGAGCTAGAATCTTTTTTAAAATTGCATCTGGAGATGGGAGACATTTTTACTTTTCTTGCCTTTCTTGCCTGTTGTCTTGCTAGAGAATTCAGTTTGAAGTTCTAATGCTGTGGTTCTCCCTCTCAAAGTACGCACAGAACCTGGAGAGCTTCTGAAGACACAGGTTCTTGTGCATGTCTGATTGGTTGTACCAGAGGACACTGTCACACCTGTCCGGTACCTTGAGGACCACTGTTCTAGTGTGAACTGGACATTTAAGATCCCACTTCCAGTCTCTGTTTATAACAAGGTCAGAGGTTTATATAAAAGTTGGCAAGCATTTTCTTTAGATAATTGTTCTGTTTGGAGCTAAGAACTCATTACAGAAGAGAAAATAATAGAAGATATAATAGAAGAAAAACACATTACTCTGTGGGAGAAAATCTACAGAAATCAGAACTTTGAATAACTCAGAATGCAATGTTTTCTTCTCCCTTCCTTTACCCCTTTTTCCTGTTTTAGGGTAAAATCGTTGCCCAGGGTAAACTGCTCTTGCAGGACACGTTCTTGGTCACAGACCAAGATGCAGGGCTTCTGCCTCGCTGCAAAGAGAGGCGCGTGTTCCTCTTTGAGCAGATCGTCATATTCAGCGAACCGCTTGATAAAAAAAAGGGCTTCTCCATGCCAGGATTCCTGTTTAAGAACAGCATCAAGGTACGGTGTGTTTGCTCCTGTGCCCATGCCTGTACCCATCTCATTGATAAACTGTTTCTTTTAATGGTGACCTATCCTGATGCCTGGCTTATTAAGTACTTAGAGAATCTTCTAGTGCATTCAGAACCTTGAAATTCACCCCATCTCTCTTTCTACTGTGTTCTTTAGTGACTGATGTCTTACACACACCTCTGTAGGACTCCCCCTTTTTCCATGATGAGGCCTGGTCTTGGGTAGTGTCTGTGCACCACTTGCTCTAGGATCATGGAAACTTATTTAAATTCCAGGCACATATTTGTAATATTGCTCTATGACCAGAGAAAATAGCTAACTCAGTGTCTTCTTATTCTCCTCTGTTTGACAAGGAGGTACTGAGCACCCAGTACCAGGCATGGGGTCTCCAGGAATGATCCAGACAGATGTCCTCTCTTGCCCTCTGATGGGGGAGAGAAACAAATAAATGGATGAAATAGTTGCAAATGGCCCTGAATTCTATAAAGAGGGCAAACCAAGGTGAGGTAGAAAATAGCAAGGGGAATGAGGTCCCACAAGATGTGACAATACATGCTGTCCTCACCCCCAGTTCCTCCTGCCCTGAGCCAGTAGGGTTCCCATCAGGGCCCGGAACCTCTTAGCCCCACCGCACCATGCAGGCCTTCCTGCATACCAGGGGAACGTTGAGTCCTGTTCCATCCTCTCCCTACTCAGGCTTTTTTTGACTACTTCCAGAAGCCTCTGTGTGCCTGAACCAGGACAGGTCTGTCCATGGGCACAACCCTCAGGTTGGGGTGGTATCCCATCCACAACCCCTCACTCTCCTATCTACGACCCCTCACCCCGAGGGCCTGTTGGCCACAGGCCCCCCCCAAGCACATGGCTGCACCTGAACTTCCATCACTTGAACTGTATCCATCACCTAAACTTCCCACCCATTCTTTTCATAAGTGTCTTGACAGAAAATCACTCTGGCACCATAGACATTCTCTATGCATTATTTTACATATTCTTCTTCCTTTATAAAATTGTTAGACATATTTTAATCATATCATATATACTTTTATAACACAGGTTTTATTGATATTTGAAATTTTGTAATGGTGACATTTTATTCCCTGGGAAGCAAGTAAAGGAAAGATCCTGGGTCATCATAGAGGAATTTTGGAAACAGTAATCCCAGAGCTACATTTCTAGTTAATTATTCAAGCTGTTAGTTCAAACCATTACTTAAACACCTGATAATCCCCACATATCTGAGTTAAAAGAAAATTGAAAAGCTACACGATGTTTCTGAGACAGTAAAAATGGCAGCTTAACTGAACAGTGATTGTTCATTTTTGACATGAGATGAACCTCACTTTGCACTTGGCCAGAGAGGATAAGTGTGCTTTAATTTTTTATTGTGGTCAAATACACATAACATGAAATTTACCATTTTCAAATGTCTAGCTCAGCAGTGTGAGGTGCCTTCACATTGTTGTGCAGCCATCACCATCATCCATCGGCACGGTGCTCCATCTTGCAAAACTAAAGCTGTGTCCTCATTAAACACTGGCTCCCTGTTTTCCCCTCCCCACAGCCTCAGGCAGCCCCCATTCTACTTTCTGATTTTGACTGCTCCAGGGACTTCATATGAGTGGAGTCTTACAGCATTTGTCCTCTCATGACTGGCATATTTCACATAGCATAATGTCCTCTAGGCTTATCCCTGGTGTAGCTTGTGTCGGAACTCCTTCCTAATTACAGCTGAATGATCTTCCATTATGCACATATAACACATTTTGTCGATGGACACTTTGGATGCTCCTACCTGTTAGCAATTCTGAATAATGCTTTAATTTTTTAAGGTGAGTTGCCTTTGCCTGGAGGAAAATGTGGAAAATGACCCCTGTAAATTTGCTCTGACATCAAGGACGGGTGACGTGGTAGAGACCTTCATTTTGCACTCATCTAGTCCAAGTGTCCGGCAAACTTGGATCCATGAAATCAACCAAATTTTAGAAAACCAGCGCAACTTTTTAAATGGTAATGTATGTTTTATGACTAGATGTATGTTTCCTCCCCTACTGAACACATTTCTATTTTTCTTTTCCCTCCCATTACATAGTCATAATAATGACAGAACTTAACACTTACCATACATCAGGTACTGTCTGTATTTCTTTATTTCATCTCCACAGCCACCCTGTGGGGCAAGTACTATGTTTTTTGTTTTTGTTTTTTTTTTAAGTCAGGGTCTCACTCTGTTGCCCAGACTGGAATGCAGTGGCACAATCATAGCTCACTGCAACCTCAACCTCCTAGGGTCAGGCAATTCTTCTGCCACAGCCGGAGTACAGTAGCCGAGACTACAGGCATGTGCCACCACACCTGGCTAATTTGTGTGTGTGTGTGTGTGTGTGTGTGTGTGTGTAGAGACAAGTTCTCGCTATGTTGCTCAGGCTGGTCTAAAATTCCTGGGCTCAAGCAATCCTCTCACCTCAGCCTCCTAAAGAACTGGGATTACTTAAGTGCTGGGAATGGGGCTGGTAGGCTACATCTGATTGTGGTAGTTCTCAAAGGCCTTGACACTTTAAGAATGTGTTAGGGATTCCATAGTGCTTATTTGACAAGATTCCTGGGTTTTCCTCTAGAGGATTATGGAAGAAAACTGCATTGCTAAAGTCAGAAAGTGGGGGCAGCTGCCTTACCAGCAGGGGGCCTTCAGGAGCTCCTTAGCTGCCCTTATCTGATTTATTCAACCTGAAAGCAAAGGGTGGTCCATAAAACCGCCTCCAGGAATGGTGGCCTGGGAGTCTTTTTGCCTCTCTCCTCCTTGCTTTAAGGAAGACCTTTGTAGAAGCCAGTTGGTACCTGACGGTGTCCTGGTCAAACCTGGCCTAGCGTGGCTTTGGTCCTGTTGACATTGGCCATGTGCTCTGGTCCTGTAGGACCCCCTTCTTAGGATACAGCGTCCCTGGCTGCCTCCTGGGGACTTGAAGCCCCCCAGGCTGTCCTCATGTGCTCTGCTCTGCTGCCCGTTGACCTCCTGCCACCTACTCACCCTAGTTCCCTTGAAAAGTCACTCTAGTTCCTTAGGAAGCAGGAGAGTAGCAGAAAGGCCTTCTCTCTGCTATTGTGGCAGACAGTGTCAGTCTCTGCCTGCAGAGTGTGCGGGCTGTTTAAAGGCGTGTTGGCTGCCAGCGGCTTGGCTGCTGGCCCCACGACTGGCCGGCGGACATTCCGGCCTGGCCCTCCCCTGATTGCCTCGGTCCCCTTTTCCTGTGCCCTGAGCCTGCCCTTCCCGGGGCCCTGATCAGTCTCCTCTGCCGTGTCTCGCCTTTCTTGCAGCCTTGACATCGCCGATCGAGTACCAGAGGAACCACAGCGGGGGCGGCGGCGGCAGCGGGGGCGGCGGC